CGTCAAGGTCAGTTGGGTGAGAATGGAGTCATGTTTGTAACTGTATTGGCAGTGGGGTCAGAGGCCACACTCTTGAATCCCTAGAGCCACTGGGCTGGGTGCTGGGGCTCCCAGGGGCCTCCCCATGGCCTTGCACCGGGAGGCGCTGGTTTCATGGGAACAGGTGACAGACAGGAGCCAGTGTGTAAGCAAGACAGAAGGCACGGTCGCCTGTGACTTCACTGTGCAAGTGACTGTCCATCTCTTGCCAGAATAAGTCACCAGTCCAGGCCACACTCAGAGGGAGGAGCACGCAGAGAAGGGGCTTAGGGGTGTTCAGACTGCCTGAGAGTGAGCGCCTCGGCTGTGGCCTTGGGCGCCCCACTGGCCCCACCCAGTGCCCAGCCATGGCGCTCACTGGTTGGCGGTTATTGAGGCTTGAGACGTAAAATGCACGCACGCATGCACGCGCATACACACACGTACACTGAAAACAAGCCCCTTTACTGGTTCTATTTCATCACAATCTATGGCTTCTCTTTTCATTTTTTTAAAAGTGTCTTTTGAAGAGCAGAAATTTTAAATTTTGACAAAGTTCACCTTCTGTAACTTATGTGTTGTTTAAAGAATTATGTTTTTGGTATCACATACCGGAAGTACTTACCCAGGCAACTTAGTGACTTAGTCTCAAAGTAAAAAATAAAAAAAGAACTGGGGATGTAGCTCAGTGCAGAGGTCCTGGGTTCAATCCCTAGTACTGCAAAACAACAACAAAACAACAAAAACAAATGGCAACTTGCCTGATCTCAAGTCATAAAGAGTTCCTGATTTATTCTAGAAGTTGTATGGTTTTAGATTTTACATTTAGTACTCGTGCTAAATTTAGGGTACTTTTTGTATAGTGTGTGGATTGAAATGAACTATTTTTGCTGTGAAAATCCAGCTCTAGCACATGTCGAAAGACTATGCTTTCTCCACCAATTGCCTTTGCATGTTTGTCAAAAAATCTATAATTTGTGGGCCGGGATTTAGCTCTGTGGCAACGTGCCTACCTTGTAAGCACAAGGTCCTGAGTTTGATCCCCTGTACTGCAAAAAAAAAAAAAAAAAAAAAAAAATCTATAATTTGTATGAATTCTCTTCTTTTCCATTGACTTGTTTGTATACTGACTGATTCTAGGAGCTTTTTACCTTTTCTTTTTTGTATTTCATTGGATTTTCTACATTGGCAGTCAGATTCTCTGCTAAGGAAGAGTGTGTTCATCTTGTCCAGTCTTGACACATTTCTTTTCTTTGTGAGCACTAGCTAGAACTTCCAGTAGAGTATACACTACATGGTAGGACTGGGCATCCTTGCCTGTTCTGATGTTAGGGGAAAGCTCTTCTTAGTCTCGTTATTGAGTATCATGTTAGATGCAGGTGATTCATAGGTACCTTTTGTCAGATTAAGGAATTTCCCTTTATTTCCAAGTTTTCTGAATTTTACCTCGAGCTTTTTTTTTTTTTTGGTACCAGGGATCCAACTCAGGACCTTGTGCTTGCCAGGCAGGCATGTAGCCACTGAACTAAATCCCTGGATCCTTGAGAGTTCTTTGGGGGGTTTTTTGTTTTGTTTTTTTGGTACTGGGGATCAAACTTGGGACCTTGCGCTTGTGAGGCAGGTGGCAAAACCACTGAGCTAAATCCCCAGCCCCACCTTGAGAGTTTTAAAAATCATGAATTGATACTGGATTTTTTCAAATGATTTTTTTAAAAAAAATCTCTTGACATTTTGTCAGTCTATTGACACTGCTGCTGTAACTGCAGACAGGCATTTCCAAGCTGGCCTCAGAACCACCCAGGGAAGTTTAATCCAAATAAAACTAGAAATTGCTGTGCCCAGATCCTGAATTATGAATTCAGAAAGTTTGAGTGAGTTCCTAAGAATATTTTTCCACAGATCCTGGGGTGGTGTGCATGTAGTCAGACCGTGAGCCACTGAGGTGCAGAGCACAGTCACTTGTTTGGATGGATCTGGGTGGCTGCGGATAGTAAAGCCACAGTGGTAGAGCATGTGGACCCTGAAACTGCCCATGTGGCAATGAGTGACGAGGGTCATTTCTCTGGTGTAGGGATGGCCTGAGCCGCTGGCTTTCCCCCAGTCGTGGATGGCCATATGGTCTGGAAGTCCCAGACCTGGAACTTGCCTGTCCCTTTAGCCAGTCACCAGGGCCCAGAGTGAGCCCTGCCCCAGGACTCTGGTAAGGAGCCAAAGAATTTCCCACCTGACCACTCACCTAGGTGAGATCCTTGACTTTTCTTGCTTAATAGAACTCCAGGCCTAAATACTGAATGATCAAATTTTAATTCTTCAGTCCTGCTTCCACATCTCCCTTAATTTGTAGACTGCTTGACCTTTTGCCCCTTCAGGGAACAGCAGGTTGGAATGTTTGTACCCTCCTGCTTTGGACAGCTCAGCAGACCTCGCACATAATCTCTGTGAATACATACAAATCCTTTTACCTTGGCTTCTTTCCTTTTACCCAGGCACAAAGTCCAGCACCACAACCTTGAAAGGATAGCTATCCATCTTTAAAAAGACCACTGAATTTGCATTTTCTTGCTTTGCATTTTTACTAGCTTCCTTGTGGAAAGTGAGCTTTCTCTGGCCATTAAGTGTGACTTTGGGAAATAAGCTTGGTTCTGCTATTTCTTTGAAGAACATTCAGTCATTTCCCTCTGGCACCCAGAATAAAAATTGATTTATTCTATATCCTTAAGTCTTTTCAAAGCTTTGCAACCCCTCTGTTTGGGCCATGTGGCTCATCTTCCAGGTGACCTCACTGCACTGCTGCTTGGCACTGCCTGGAGGGTGGGACCTGGAAAAGGGCTGGCTTTTGAATCCTGTTTTTCTCTAAGAAAAGTGCTGGGGAACTAACCAGGACCTCCCGTGTCCTAGGCAAGTGCTCTACCACTTGATTTCTGAATCTTAAACCTACCTTGCATTTCATACATAAACCTCACTTGATTGTCAGATGTATTTGCCTTTTCATACAGTGTTTTTCTTTTGGGAAAGTTTAAAACTAAAAAAATTTTAATCAACATGTTTCTTCTTGAATTTTTTTATCTGTTTATTCTGGATTGAGCTTTGAGAGTAGTTTATATCTTTTAGAGGAATTTGTTCATTTTAAGCATGTTCTTGAATGTATTGGCATAAAATTGTTCATATTTCTTCCTTATTGTCATTTTAATATCTATTATGCTCTTATTCCTGATATTGGTAATCTCTTTTGTTTTCCATGACCATTCTGGTGGGAGGTTTATCCGTTTTACTGATATTGACGTCATTGCTTTTCTCCATTTTGTTTCCTGTTTCATTGATTTCTGCTCTGCTTTTTATAACCTTTCTTTTGCCTACTTTGGATTTAATCTGTTCTTTTGCTGGTTTCTTAAGGTAGAAGTTGTGGTTGAGACTTTCTTTTCTAACAGAGGTGGTATCAATTCTAGAGCTTGTTACTTCTTTTTACATACCCAGATTTCTCTTATTAGAAGAATTTCCTTTAACTTTTCTTGAAGTAGAGGTCTGTTAGTCACATTTAGGGTTTGTATGTATTTTAAAAGTCTTTATTTGCTTTTGTCTTGAAAGATACTTTCTCATGGCAAAGAATTCAGTGTTGATAGTTCTTTCTTCAGCTCTAAAAATGTTGTTCCACTGTTTCCAGTGATAACTTTTTTTTCCCTCTGGCTTTAAAAAATTCTGCTACTTTCAGGATATTCCCTGCAATGCTGATTATACAGTTTAATTATATTTCTTAGTGTAGTGTTCTTTGTATTTCTGTGCTTGGGGTTCTGAGTTTCTTTGATCTTGGGTTTCTAGTTTTCATTGTATATGGAAAACTTGAGGTCAAATTTTTTTTCTCTCCTTTTTCCTTTGGGGACTCTTAAGTCTCCATCATCTTGCCAAATACTGTATTTAAAAACCATGTTTTCTATACTTCACCTAGGATTGTTTTTATTGCCATCTTCTAGTTCATTACTGTGCACTGATCAAAACACAGTTATTGCCTTTCTGGAGCTGATATATAATAATTTTCTCATGATTAGTGCCATGAAAGAAATGCATAGAAAGATGCTCCTTAGAGATATGGTGGACCTCTCTGAGATGAGTTTATGCACAGCCTTAAGAGATAAATGAGGCATGTGAAGAATGGAAAGTCCTGGGCAGAGGTAACAGCATATGAGGGCCCTTGGGTAGGAATAAAATGGTCTGGAGAGGCCTTTGGAGTAATTGGCAGGTGCTTGATCCTATTCCTGTAGGGCATAAGTTTAGATTTAATTATAGATGTCAGAAAGTAATCGCAGGGTTTTAAGCAGTAGTAACAATCCAGTGCATACTTTCAGTTCTTTGGTTGCTAAACTATGAATCAATTCACTAATTCTGTGTAAAACTGACTGGTTTCCAGACTAGGAAAATTTCTTGACTGCATATATGTTTAACATATGAATACAGTGGTGCAGTAGACCATTTAAGTGACTATCAGTGAAAATGACTGTAGCTTGAGTGACTATTCACTTTAAGTAAGATACTAATAATTTTTAAAATTTGTCTTCCAGCTGGTGGAAGTGAAAGGCCCCAATGATCGTCTTTCACATAAGCAAATGATCTGGCTGGCTGAACTGCAGAAGCTGGGGGCTGAAGTAGAAGTCTGCCATGTGGTTGCAGTTGGGGCTAAGAGCAAGGGCCTCAGCTAAAAGCTATGGAATTGAGTATCTGGTCGTATGTTGATAGATGAGTTTTAAAAGCAGAAGGCAGTATTAGATTGTATTTTTGATTTTGTTATTGTCAGTAATAAACCTTGTAGCTTAATGATTCATCACTGCATAGTGTCTGTGTTTCACAAAACTTGGTATCTGCTTGAATACAGTGTATAATAAACTTTAAAAAAATAAAACCTTGGTGGTCATTTTAGGAGCTGGATGCATCTGTGCCATTACATTAGATATGGAAAAGGTTGGGAAAAAAAGTGGGGAAAATCAAGATCATTCACAGCTTTAGATCTTTTATTACAAAAGTAGTATAAATAACATTTCTAATAAGTATTTTGGAGATAAAACCTTTTTTTTTTTCTGTTCTGAGGACAAATTCAGGACCTTGTATGTGCTTAACTAGCAGTCTACCACTGAGCTACAGACCCATCACGAGACAGAGATTCTCAAATTTAGATATTTCTGCACTGGTTTACACACACAGTCACTAAATACTCTTGTGATTTTCCAAGAAGGGCAGAAAGAGCAGAAATTCTGATTTCTTCGGAATTAAAAACCAAATTCTTATGAAGGTGCTTAACTTCTTAGAACATCTGCAAGCGCTTACTCTCACCAGTTGGGGTAGATCACCAAAGGCATGGGCAGTCTGCGAAATCAGTTGTCCCTTCACAGCCTTCTCCTCAGAAGCATCCCTAATAATGAGCTTCGGGGTAATTTTTATACCAGTGGCATAATCAAAGCAGGACCACCCGCCACCGTGGTCAGAAGGGTCTCGGGTGGGGGAGGGCCATGGTATGATTTATCCGGATGGAGGCTCAGGACTTAGGGTTGCAGGGTCCATGGACTGAGACCTTGGAGGCAGTTACACCTCAGTTTTTGTATTTATCACTACCCGATTTTAGAGGGCAAGCAAAAAGACCGCACGTTTGACACTCAAATATGGGTGAAAGATGCCTTTGAGTTTTCAACCACTGTGCTCTTACAATTTCATACTGATAAATGTACCACAAACAGTTTCTGTGGAAATTTTATTTAGCAGTCAAAATTTCCTTCACATTCATTCCGCTGAACAACAAGACCTCTCATCTCCTGCTCATTTTACTTCAAGTCATCAGTTTTAGGCACAAAGGTTTTACTTTTCTCTCAAAATCAAGTTCTGCTTGAGGTTACTGCTATAGCATGCAAATTCTGTCAAACAGTTTTGACCTCCTGTTAGTACGAATTAATATCCTTTTCTTAAATAAAGTTAGACACTTGGTTTTCCAGTTGATTCCCATCGTAAGCGGTAAGACACTACAGCTTTACGTTCAATGCTGTCTGGGCTTTGCCTGGACCTCAGCACAGGCGTCTGTCCACGAGCCTGCGGGAAAGTGGGTGTTGAGCTCCTTGGGTTTCTGCAGCAGCCACACTGACACTTCACGTCACCACATCTCTGCTCGCAGGAGAAGCAAGCAGCTTCACAGTGGCCCGGACAAGGCTGTTAGAGTTGTTTTTCATATTATGTACGATAAACTGTGGCACAATAATCATTATGTAACAGGTATTCAACAAAAAATCTGTATTTCACTACATTTATCATACAAAAATATGCAACTTTCTATTTTAAGACAGTATTATTAATAGTACCTAACCTTTTTTAAACTTGTAAATTCAGAAAAAGTTATAAAAAAGGGACTGAAATAGAGGGAAGAAAATTAGAGAAATGGTGAACCCAAAAACTAAATTTAGAAACATTTGTGATAATAAAAAAGCAGCTTAATGATAAAAGGAGAATTACACTTTCAATGGCAGGAAATGCTGTGTTTTAAGGCCAATCAAGGCTGGTTTCCAATCAAGGCCTATAAAAACTTTAGTGAGAGGGCTGGGGATTTAGCTCAGTGGTTCCATTGCCTGCCTCGCAAGCACAAGGTCCCGAGTTTGATCCCCAGTACCAAAAAAAACTTTAGTGAAATAAAGCTATTTTTATGAACTGAAGATAGCCCTTATTTTCTAGGCAACGAGCTGGCAAAATCATTGTGTTTATCCACAGGATGAATTTCCTAAGACACTGTATAAGAACTTCTGTTTAATCCAGAGACATTATCAAACAACTTTAAAAAGGCAAATAATTCTCAGCTCACTTAAAGGCAAAATACGCTATCTTGAAAAAATGTTTTAGAAAAGGAAATGAGACATTACAGAAAATTTCGGGCTCTTAAGATGGCAGTTTAAGAAACTTAACAGTGAAATAATTGGATGTGTGTGCACTTGGAGAGGGATGGCATGAAATATGAGTCACTGCACAGGGAGCTTAGCTTTCACCTTACAAAGTTGGCCAGCTTCTGGTCAGTTTGAAAACAAGGGTATTTCAGACCAGGAGTACACCCGTGTGAGCTTCTGTCTCTTCTTAATATTGCTGTCGAAGTCAGGAAAGGGTGTGGAGAGGAGCACTTCTCTCCTTATCAAAGCGGCAGTGTTTTGAGGTAAGTCCATGTTCCCCATTCCTAAGGATTGAGAGCTTTGAGACAAGAGGGGCTTCTGGCCAGGGCTCTGACTTGTGCCCTCACTGGTAACCTTGAAGGGGAAGTGCCCACAGCAGTTCAGCAGGCTGGAAACGGTGATGGGAACCAGAGGCCTCCGAGCAGCCCTGAGGTCTGAGGGCTGCGCCTTGTCACCTGAAAGCCTGCAGAGCCTCTTGGATCAGCACCCCACCAGCTACTGTGTCCTTGGTGATGCTCACAGTGACAGAAACGTGGCTTTGAAGACTCCTGGCTATAAGTATGAAGCTTGGAATGAAAATCCTAAATCCAATATGCTGAGTATAATTTTAAAAAGTGAAATTATATTTTTCTGTTACTCAGTATCTAAATGTCAAAGGCACTTCTAAGATTAATTATATCGTCTACAACGAATGCTTTAAAGTTACAGTGCATGTCATTTTAAAGTTAGTCCCGTGGAGTTAAAAGCAAACTCGTGATTTCAAACCACAGTCATCTACGGTCTCACACAAGGTGATCTAAAATGCTCTTCTTCCTGCTCTTTCCTTTTGATTGCTATTCTGACCAGGCACTGGGTAACCTTTAATAGGTGGTAGGAAAAATGGACAGAGACAGAAGAAATGTAGAAAACCTGATTAGTTTGATCACAGTCATAAGAATAAGGGGAACGTTTGCCATCACCTAAAATGAGCCAGAACTGTAAAGACAGGAATAGGACATAAAAACCAAAATTACACTTTTCTTAAATTACCTGCGAAGGTAGTATGATTCAATAGGTTTTAAATATTAGTGCAAATTTCAACTATTATTCTTATATATAAAATTATTAAGTTTTAAATGCCTAGGTTAGCAATTTCAATTCAGAGGGAAGTTACAGCTTCCTTTAACATGTTCTGAAAATACATTTTAGTCTTCATTTGCTAATGTCTCAGTAGATATCCATATTTTGGCCCCGCTTAAAAATTTGCTTAATGGTGTTCCTAAAATGCTTCGCCTGCATAGGTTGCCGACAGGAGAAAATGGAAATGAAGAGGAGAGGAACTCAGGTGTCCCCGAGGTGCTGTGTGGGCCTTGGGCTCTGAAGTACATCCTGCTCTGGTCCAGCTCTGCATAGCAGGCTTCCAGGGGGCTGCTGCGCTGCTGCCGCAGCATTCTGCTGAGCGTGTCCACCTCATCCACTAGCAGGGAGAGCTTGTGGAAGGCAGTGATGGAGCCCCCAAGGTGGATCTGAGCCTCAGGGACCCAGCGGAAGTAGCACAGTTTCCACAACTTTATGTGTGCTCCTGAGAGACAAGGCAGAATCACACCGTGGAGGTCAGCTGGTTTGGAAAACCACTCTCTGAAATACTGTTCCATATCACTGTTGTGACTGTCAGTGTGCTGAAGTGGGTCTGGCTTGTGTTTTAATATTGGTGAATTTCTCCTCGGGGGCAGTTCTTGGTCACCGATGACCCCATTCTTTAAGGAAGATGGCATTCCCCTCAGTGTAGAACTGTAGCTCTTCTGCACAGAAGAGAGATCACAGCATTATCCTTCCGGAGTCTCTTTTTGACAAAAGATTAAAAGTGCAATAGAAAATATAAATACAGTATTTATGGAAAATGAAATTTCAGCCTCAGCAAACATTTTTGTTCCTTCCCTTGGAGTGCTTATTCTAATCCTCCTCCCCTGGAGTCGCTGTTTTTCAGAGTTGATTCTCCTGAGGCATGGCAAGTAAGTATATCTTATCTATTAGTTAGCTCAAATGGATATTTATAAACTTCTGGATTAGGGAAAAAACCCTAAACCTGGCTGATTCTGTTAAGAAGAATGGCCGGACTAGATGAGTTTGAGAGAACAGGGCTCCAGGCCCACAGCCTTGAGCTGGCAACAGATCTGAACAGGCTTGACAGGACTCACGCACCAAAAGTCACAAGGTAGTCACATCAGTTAAAGAAGGAATAATCCCTCAAAATGCTGGATTAACAGTGCTACTGTAGGGTGTGGCTTTATTTTTAATATTTTTTGTCCTTATGTGTGTGCTTGCGTGTGAGCCAACATAAGGTTTGTACTGTTAGTGCACTGTTGTGATTTACCTTTGTCCGCTTAAAAGACTTCACAGAGCCATTCTGCACACAGGGCATGCTCTTTCCAACGTAGAAGGGGTTGTGAAAAAGGGTGCGGTCTTTTGCCGTGAACTGAAGAGACCAGTCCCACACTGAGGGGAATTTTAAGCCCTTTTCGTCACCCAACTGGATATTTTTACTTATAGCAAATTCCTGCAAAATAAAATATTTGCACATGTGTAAAAAGATGCACAGCTAGAGACTTTCTCCTGTGGGCTCCTTCCTTTTGATGAGCTTTTCATCACCATGCAGGTGAAACCTTCTGAGCAAGGGTACTCAAAACCCACTAGGGCAGAATTATCTCTCCTGGAGCCAGGAGTGTGTCAATGCTCGAGCCCAGAGGTTCGCTGGATGCCCTGTGAGCAGGCATGCGGTGGGCTCTGCAGCCAGTTCTCTGCCTCTGGACCAAGGAAGCTGTATCCTCTAGACAGGGAAGGTGTCACTGGGAGGAAAGCTTCACTAATGTCATGCTGTACAGTCTCAGGATGTACTGAAGCCCCACTCTGGATTCCCACACAGCAGATCAAGGCAACAACCCAAGGCCTCACTATGAGGATGACACAGTGCTCCTCCAGGAGGCAGCTCTGGGACCAATTCAGACGCAGCAGTCACCTTTAGTGATGTGCAGAAAGGACTCTCTTAGCAGTGACAAAAGCAGACCATATCAAATTTATACAGAATGTTTCCCTAAAGGAAATGTCCCCAAGTAGTCTCTGGATGGTACCAAATGATCGCCCTTGTTTTCTATTCTGTATCTTTTAGTCTTTTCCAAATTTTCCTCAAAAAGCCAAGAATTTCTTTGAAAATGAGAGAGAAAAGAAGCAAAGAATAAATGTTACTAAGAAAAAAAAATAAAACAGTCAGGAGGCACTGGTTGTGTCACAGCCAGGGGTGTGCCTCCCACAACGACGGATGGGAATCATCGAGAAATAGGTAAGCCATGGAACAGGAGAGGCTATTTTGAAAGTTTTACAAAACTTTCATTTCAAGTTAAGAAAAATTCATTAAGCACCAAATATACTTAACTTTTTTCTTAGTTGGGAGTTCATCAAAGATGAATGAAAATAACTGATCTTTAAAGGACTAACATCTAAAATCTAGTAAAACATAAACCTCAACCCGTTTAATGTTCCTTAGCAAAGTATATAAAAATCTGCCACCGGGCTGGGGATTTAGCCCAGTGGTTCCACTGCCTGCCTCGCAAGCACAAGGTCCTGAGTTTGATCGCTGGAAACAAAACAAACAAACAAACAAAAAAGATGGCAGGCATCTCATCTTCGACAAAGGAGCCAAACACCCTCACTGGAGGAAAGATAGCCTCTTTAATAAATGGTGCTGGAAAAATTGGGCTTCAACTT